GCATATGGTACATCAATCCCAGTTGATCAACAATTTTCTGTCTGCTGCACAATATTTCTTATAACATTGATATCCCTATTATTACAATCTTCAAACAAAATGCTAGAGAATTTTTTTTTTTTTTTTTGTTCAACAAAAAAGAGTATCTAAGTCAACATACACACACCTCGACTAATCCTCTCTCCAATTCAGACAGAGACAAACTATTCATGTCAGATTAAAATATTCATAATGGATAAATTTCTCATGACTTGATCTCAAGGGATTATTAAATTTAAATTCAGAATGTCTAAGTTTACAGCTCTTACATATTACCACTTGATCAACAAATTTCTATCTGCCGCACAATATTTCTTATAACATTGATATCTCTTACTACAATCTTTTTAACAAAATGCTTAGAGAACTTCTTTTCCCTTAACTTCCTTGTTCACTCTTAGACCGTAAAAGATACCTCTGCTTTTTTAAAACCTACATCTTGTAGAAAAGAGAAGGGTGGGTGGCTTTGCGAAGATTAAAAACAATAACACCAGACAATAAAGAAATTGAGTGTGAATGATTAAAAATGTACAATCTTACATTCATCGATGAGGTAGGATATGGTGATCGTAAAAACAAAAAAAAAAATTCAAATCAAACGCTGAGAGAAAAAGTTGGTGCAAAATCTTCCAATAAGAACTCTGAATCCTCAATGCTGGTTGGCCATTTTTGCCTCAATAACCAAATGAAATCCTGCAAGTTTTGATGTAACAGAACAAGAGACTGACCGAAATCCTCCATATTTGTCATGCGCCATCTCTGCACTTACGAACCTCTTTGTACTCAGCAGGCGGTATATTGGATTTTGCCTGAAAGACCCCGATCATAAAATATAGAGAACTAAGATCCAAAATTTTGAAAGAGATAAAAGCTTATAATAGCTTTACATTCTGAACTACGGAGATTGAAAGATGCTCCAACCATAATCCATTAGTCAACTAAACTCTAGGTTAGATCACGTCTCAGTAGTCTTTCTCTTACGATCTGATCCTGAGGCAACATTAGTTTGGGCCTGACCAAAACTGACCTGCATTTTAGTTTTGTCACAGCCAATATATGAGATAGGCACTACAATAAATGAATAAGCATTTAGAAAATAATTTCACTTTTTGATGATACGTCAACAAATAACTTCACTATTTGGTAAAACTATATGAACTAAGCACGAGAAGGATTTGGGCTGAAGTCCACACACTGTAAACCATCACCAATTTCTTGTCACGTATGACTCGCAAGATGATAGTTCAAATTCGAGTTTTCATTTTGTGAATGTATAGTCAAAAAGTATTAAGTTTGATCAATTTCCAAGCTGTTTGCCAAAGATGGTAACTCGAAGGCCAAGAAGAAAACGTTAATTATGAAAAGGTTGCCTTGTCTAACAGTACTTGAGAGTAGATGTTTTCTTCCTAGGACTCCGTCTTATCAACACTGCTTTCTTTCCTCTTCTATCTTTTCTTAGGGCAGCTGTAAGAAGAGCATAATCATACCCTCACCTGAAAAGTTCCCATGCTGGTAGTATAAAGGAAAGAAAAGAGAAACAAAACAAAGGGAATTGATAGTGGGAGATCACGAAGATATTGATACTTCATAACTAGAAGGTTCACATACCCAATCTCAAACCACTTTTGAGAAGACTTGAAGTATTGGGTTGGACTTTTCAGGATATTTTCTTTAAAATAGAAAAGAAAAAGGAAACATGGAACTTGGAATCAGTGTAAATATTGATCTAGTATACTTGTGCTATCTAATGAATGTGCATTTACAGGAAAATACTAGTAAGATAGCTCGATCTCATCAGGACTTAAAAATCAGTAAAACACAGTTTTGTCCAAACTAGATACGTTCGGGTTTGAACCCACAACCTCTAAATTTAAGCCATTGAACCCATCGACCCCTACGAAACAAGTACCCTAAAAAATAATATCGGAAAAAGAAATGGTGCTCACCCACAGGTTGAACATTGCTTGTGATGCTTACAGAAAATGGATAAACAAACAGAGCATATGTAGCCCATGTCAATTGTATTTTTGTGGCAAAAGCACCTGCATATGTCAGGATTTTGATAATGTTAATTGCAATAGATGATAAACATTAAAGGAAATAAAGAACTATCAGAAATTAGTGCATGAATAAAAGTGAAGCAACAAAAGCTTCTCCTTGTACAAGTTTGCAATCACTGTGAAGACACCACAGATGCAATTACACAGAGAAGACACATCTAGCTTGCTTTTGAGAGCAACAATTCAGATGCTACTTGTTTACAAACCATAGATGTTTGAAGGGTACAATGAATCATTTGATCCAAACAGTAGCCAATATAATCAAACTTGAGATACTTAGCTGAGAAACAACCAAACCATAGCTGTGGTTCAGAAAGTATTAGCCCAGACACACGGACGGAACCAGGATCTTCTCGTGAGGGGGGCCAAACAAAAATAATTACACAAACAAAATTTATACAACAGGATTATCAAATAAGTTATCATTAATGACAAATTTACATTTATAGACCCTATAAAATCAACTTCTATATGATACAATTGCAAAAAAATAGTTTGGACCATAAAATTCAAATCTTAGTTAGCAACATAAAATTAATTTATGACAATGCCATAGTTCACTTATTCCCTCGTTCACACATAGTTCATGTCTACAAATAAATTACTATCGCAAAAATTATTTTCACGTGATACTATCATAAACATTAATTGACACTGTATTATTATAATATATGTCATTCATATTAACCAAATAACTTTCTTTCATTTTTTCTTTGGTCACATACTCATACAAACATGTGTCTTAAGGAGAAACACTAATTCATGTAATTAATACATCCAATTTGTTATCAAAGACAACTAGGATTTTTGAATACACTAATTAAATTACGCACCTATATAATTTTTTTAAAAATTTTAGGATGAATATAGGATTTTAGAAAACTTAAGGGGATATAGGGTATTTTGAAAAATTGAGGGGGGCCATGGTCCCCTTGGCAATAAGGTGGTTCCGTCAATGCAAACACACATCACCAGCATACCTAGCATTTCTTAAAGAGAGAAGCATCCTAAGAAGTGTCGTCTTCTCAATGGAATCTGAATTTTGCTCTCCTTGTGCCAAGTGGTAAGTGATTATAGCGACTCACTGACTCCTTTATAGCAAGTATCATGTTACAACCTTGTACTTGCTTATCATAAAGAGTGCTGGTTGATGTATACAACATTTTTTTCTTTTTTATTTCTAATTGACATACATGATATCATCTCATGTATGTTTTATTGGTGCCATGTTTGTCCCCTATTTTTGATGAATTTGCCACCTCCATGTCTTATCCAGCAAACATAACTTTCTCCCAAAGTGTAAAAGGTGCATAGAGCAAAAAAGGCAAGAGAAAGAGACTAAGAGAGAGAATTCTAATACAATATTATTAAGCATCTTTTCCAGTATTTATATATGAGAAGAGTTCAGATTTATACCATCGGTAGCACACGTTTTCTGTGCATTCTTTCTTCATAACTTCATATTTTTCATGGAACTGTTGTTAGTTTCCAGTTTGTATTCAAAACATAAATTTAGTCATTTCCATCTCAATAGGCACAACTTTAAGCTGCCTCTCCGAAAAATCTCATGACAGACTCGAGGGACCCTCAACTATACAAGCTTTATCAAGGCTTAAGTGAGGAATATCCTCATTGTGCTCCAGCCTAGACGATCTTGCAAACTTTTACGGGAGATAATGCATATGGATCCTTTATAATTCAAGAAAACAAAAAGTCCCACAAATGGAGAAAACCTCTAATCTACATGTGTCTCTCACCTACAGGCTACAGATGGAGAAGAGAGAATTATACTACATCCCAGTTCAAGGGATGGAAGAAAATCATCAAGAAAGAACCCAAATATCACAATATGCATACTGATATTAAATGGCACGACAGAGCTCCTTTGTGTCCTGGCTTAAAAGAAAATAAATAATGCAAATCAAAAATTTTGAATATGAAACTTGACTGCCAAAAATAATGCAACAAAGAAACAATGAGCATCCATGTGGAAAGTCCACATTATTACAATGATAGAGACGCAGTTGTACTTACGAGGCACGAAAATCCACCCCTACAGGCTTAGGAAGTTGTAAAAAGCTACGACAATGCAAATCAGCTGCAAATACTGTCTGCACATAACCCCAGTAATCTGCATTGGTATCCACACAATGAAAACTAAAGACAGAAATAAGGCAATACATCATGCAAACTTCCACACTGCTACTTTAACCACACAAGAAATGTACGCCGAAATTCAAATTGAAAAAAACCTTGTGTGAATAGAGATAAAAAGCTCAAAAGGTATCTCCTCAAATCATTACAAAGTGCTCATCCGTGCATCTCATGTAATCTCCCTTTCTCCTTCCCCCCACCCCTTCCCCCCCCCCCCTTTCCAGGCCCGGATACCACTAACCCATTTGACACAAAAAGTAAAGCCTGGATACCACTAACCCATTTGATGCAAAAAGTAAACCTAATTGCAATCTGCAAAGCGAAAGGTCAATAACCCAAGTCGAAGACCCAAAAGAAGTTGAATCAAATAATGAAATACATATTGCAGGCCAAAAAATTCCCCATTCTGCATTATCTAATTGAAGCCAGAAAAACCAGATAGGATCAACCATTGAGAGAAACCCAATGTGAAATAACAACCAACCATCAAAGCCAAAGCAGCACCCTTCTTAGAGGTGGCCAAAGAGGTGAGTAACAACTCAACCCCGAGAATATCAATTTGAGAGCACCCATGGCAATTCTCGTAGAATCAACAAGTGCCTAAATATTCCCCTCCATTGTCAAAGAAATCAAAGCCACCTTAGACAGAGGGTAAAATCCACAACAGGCCTTGATGAAAAGGCCCAACTCCGTCCTAGAAATCACCAACCTATAAAAGCAATGTCTTAAAATACAAACCATTTTAACTAGCCGGAACCACAGCAACTGCCGAACTTCAAAGCACCCAAGTAAATTCATCCTACTCTACGAAACTAGGAGTTTTTAAAGAAAATTGGACATCAATAGTGAAACCAATAGATCCAGACATTTGGTGTCTAATGCTTCAGTACCTAGAATTAAGGATGAGGCCTACTGCTGTTTATTTTTTTCGATAAGACACAACATTTTACTGACAATCATAAGAAAAAATTTACATGAAACAAATCAATGATGGACAAGGAATCCAAACAACGACTATAAACCACATGAAGCTCTCCAACTTATTCTAATACAAAAGAAAGGAATATCCTCAAACTCCTTAAATGTGAAAGTCCCAAAAGAAGCCAAAAAATGAATTCTATCCCATAATCCCTCAAGTTCTTCACACTTATTCTCAAACATCCTTGCTTTCTTTTCTTTCCAAATCACCCACAAAGTAGCAAAGAAACTAAGAAAGCGTTGTACCAAAGAATGTTCCATTTTCTATTTCCCCCAAACCCCACATCATTTAAACAAAACATAGAATTCATATCCCTTGGGGCGACCCAACAAAAATTCTCAAGACCAAAAAGTTTATTCCACAAATTTCGTGCCAAAGAGTACTGCAAAAAAAGATGATTCACACTCTCATAATCCCTTCTACACATAACACACCATTGTGGTTGAAGACAAAAATGAGGTCTCCTCTTTATTAATAGTCATCTTAGTAATTTCATTACAGTTTAGCCGGAAACTTAAGATCCATGACAAACCATTGATAGAAGGCTAGCCACAAAACTGGAGCACTACCCAAAACCCGTAGACAAGTACCGGATTGCTAAATGACTCTTGCACACAAGCCTTCTTGCTACCAGTGCAATATTTATGATATGGGTGTGCTCTTCTGATCCCAATTATAGTTTCCAAAATATTGTCTCAAGGTACAAAACAACAAGCTGGTTTTTCAAATATTCAAACATTATCTACCTTAAAAATAAAGACAACAGCCAAAACAATTGTGCCTCAATAGCACAAATTCGTGATTGACATAAAAGGAAAGATAATAAAGGCTTAAAATCAAGTATTTAACCAACAGATATTGGATGTTTCTAGGTCTTTGGTGTCCTATGTGCCCATATACACAATTTGTTTGAATTTCAGTCAGCAATATTCTTATAAGGAATATGACCTTTAGCTGAGACAATAAATAAAGACTAAGACTCCTGTCTTACAGTTCTTAAGCCAGGTGATCACACGATAATTTTCCCTGAATCACAGTAAATCACAAACAAAAGCTCATCTACATGCTTCCAAGAAAAATTCATACAATGTTAGCTTACAAATACAGAAATAGGATATCTTCCAGATAATTGGAACTAACTACAGGCTGCCTAAGTGGGAACAAGGAATTGTGATGATAAACATTGCAACTATGAATAGGTTCCATATTGCCTATTAAGAACCTACCGAGAGATATTGAAACAGCCCTTCCAGTAGCTGGGGCTTCAAGTATACACCCCCAGTTATATAAGATGCCTGTTGCTCAAATACACATTACAGACAATCAGTAATGCCAAAAAATAACTCCTGATAAGTACATAATAAATTTAGCAGCAGTGAATTTGCCAACTAAATAGAAACATATGCTACCTGCTGCAAGAAAGCAGAATGTTGAGATCCTATAACGCATGAATCTATAGGTACCTGCAGTAGGAAGCGAATCAGACATCGAACTTGGTAACTTGATTGATGTTTATGGTGACTCACAACGATTTGTAAATGAATGAAACTGGGGTAGTTTTCCCTGCTTCCCAAGACAATCACATGATTGTCACCTAATTACTAGCAAACATTTGCAAGAGAATGTAGGCACTTATATATCAATTTCACCCAAGCAACCAAGAATGAGGATTATCCATCCAGTTTACAACTGCAAAGGTACTAATAAAATATCCAATCCAGAGTAATATAAGTTGAGGCCATTTTAATATTCACCCAAGAAAGAAGCATCTAACTAAAAAGTCACTTAACTCAACAAAGTCTTGTCCTAATCTTTTTGGGGTCGGCTATATGAATGTTGTTTCGTCATTGTACTCTATTAAGGGTCATATTTTTTGTTAGACCATAAGTTACCACATATTTCTTTACCATTTCATTTAAAGTTATTTTGGACTTCCTCTATCCATATGCTTACCATCTATAGCGCTATTATATCACTCTTTCTCACCAGGATCGTAATATGCCTCTATAAATATGTCCAAACCACCTAAGTTAATTCTCTTTTAATTTATCTCTTATATGTGTTATCTCTACTTCTTCACAAATATAATTGTGTCTAACTCTATCCTTCTTAATTTTACCATACACCCATCTTAACATACTCATTTCCATCACATTGAATTTTTTAACGTGTTGTGTTTTAATTGCCCAATACTCAGTACCATAAAACATAATTGGTATTATGGCCGTTCTATAGAACTTTCCTTTAGCTTAAAGAGTATGCGTCTATCACACAATACACCGAATGCATTCCTCCAATTAGTTCATCTTGCTTTAATTCTGTAAGTAAAATTATCACTAATCTCACACTCTCTACGAATAATAGACTCAAAATTGTTTCGGTATCCCTTGACCTTTAATTTTTAGTACTTCCCGGTTTGGACTCCTAGTCCTACTTTACTTTCCACATATTCAGTTTTTGTCCTATTTTTCTTAAATCCTTTTGATTCTAGAGCTTCTCATCATATTTTTAGTTTATTATTAATTTCTTCTTTGCTTTCTCCGACTAATACAATATCATCTGCATATAACCCATAAACTTGGAATTAACCCATAAATATGTAAGACAGACAACTTATAATTTTGAACATGGAAAAAACTATATAGTAATAAACACCACGAGCGGGGAGAGAAAGTCATAGAACCTTTATTCCACCGTAGGATACATTTTCTTGTTGCACATTGTTCTTGAAACTAGAATGATTAAACATATTATTTCACTCTACGTATGCAAGGGTGGTAACACCGTGACAACGGGGATGATAGTAGTGATTGCGGACACACCAACAACCCAATGATAATGAAGTGGTCACCCAGGCAAAGGTAATGATGGATGGCACCCACGGGGAAAAGACAACGACGAATGGGGACCACAATAGGGAGTGCAAAGGTTGGTGTTGGTCTTGCTTGGCCCATTTAGTGTAGAGGAGCTAATAGAGGAGAACGATTTTTTCATTTTACCAAAAGAACAAATGGATGTTTCAAAGAACTAATGAAGTATTGGTGGCAGCAATGAAGATACTAGTGCTTACGGTAGTAGTGCCAAGAATTTTTTTAAGTCCCCCTTCTTTTTTCTTTATTTAATATTTCACTCCATATTACTAGTGGGTGTTATTCACAAATCACAGTACCTCTCACATTATGAGGGGATCTAAACCCGATTCCTACAGCCAATTTCTTGTCCAAGAGATTATTTTAGCTAAACAATTCATTTTCCAGTAAGATAGGGTATATCAAGTACAACAATTACCAACTCTTGTACAAACGACCAATTTTTCTTCCAATAAGTAGCAGTTGGAGTTAAAAACCATTAATTTTGGGTGAAATTTATGATGCCTCTAGGGTTTAAAAAATCCCCCTTCATTTTATAGGATCACATAATGTCCTTGAGAGTCGTACAATGATTTTGTACAAATAAGCAACCAAATATATTCTCGAAAAAAAAATACAATGCACACTCTTAATCTCTGTAGCAAAAGAACCCCAAATAAAATATAGAGGGATTGCAGAAAATTGCAATGATGGGTTGTTAACAAAGCAAGACAATGGACCCAAGTGAGTTAATCTTCTAGTATACTTAAAAGAAGTGTAATAAGGATAAGTTTGAAAATAAAAACCCTTAAGAGCTATGAAGCACGGATCCTTCGTTGAGATTGACGTACTCGTATCCGACGATACTCATCGAATACTCGAAGATACGTATCGGATACACCTTCTACGTATCCGATAATAATTAATTATTAGAATACTTCACGGATACTTTTGTGTCGAGCAACATATATAATGTTTGAGTTAAACTTTTAAAATCTATTTTCGAATTCACGTACCATACAATACATTAACAAAAAAATTCATATTACTTCAAAGGTACATGAGTGTTTCTTAAGTATTATTTACAATTACATATCAAAAGAGTATAAAATAAAGCTATTACATTATTATCGTAGTAAAAATTACTTCTAAATACTAGGTAAATATTAGTTTTGATTTATTTAATTAGTCACTTCACTTTGTGAATATATTACAACGATACGATATATATTTTCTTGAAACTAAAAAAAATTACTAATTTTTCTTATTGTATATTAAAGAATTACCAAAATATATAAGTATTAAGCTAATTGAAAATAATAAAAATATTAAATATATTTTATTATAGTCGTATCTTGGTCGTACCCGTATCCTACTTTTTTAGACTTTGTCGTATCGCTGTATCCGTATCCCATATCCGTATCCGTGCCTCATAGCTTAAGAGTCAGTGTTTCATAGTACCGTTGAACGCTGAGCTGAGAAAATTGAGTTCATGATTGCAACATATCTGAAAAAGGAAAGCCCTGTCAAGGATTATATATCGGAGGAAAAAAAAATTGACTTTTACAAATATTGTCAATGATCATAAGAAACATACTGTCCGGGACCATCTGGTGATCCATGCAAACACAATATCTGCCACCATTTATCACCAACTTTGTTAGAGAATATATCCATCCAACATAATAGAGAGCCAATAACAACATTAATTGTTATAGAACTAATTAATGTGAAAAAAAATATATATGATGACAGGGAAAGGATTGAACCAATTCATTTAGTAACACCACAGCTCATTATGACTAGTTTTATAACAAATCCAATTTCATTTATATAACGAAATCAACCATGCACTAGCACCACATATTCTTAACTGCTAGATGTTGAGCAAAATAAGTTCAACTAATTCACACGTAATTCCTTGCACCCCAAGTTCCACATTTCTTTAGGGGTAACAAATACCAGCGAGGGCAGTTAGCAATGAAAATTAAAATATTCACAATACTGACGAGCAACTATTAGCTATTCAATGATATCTGCACAGATCATCTGACGACATAAATTCTCATTTCACCTAAATAAAACCCATTCAATGAAGGATTTACACATTTGAACTTGCTCGATATATAATCTCAAGAATAGCACTTACACTGCATAAAGTAGCAAATAGTCCACATATTTTTATGCCTGAAATGATGGAAAATAGAAACATATAACTGAGACATTAAATACACATTAAGATTTGCAAAAATATTGGAGAGTTATAGTTTCAACGCTTCCTGATGTTTAGTTCATGGTTAAATTAACAAAATTTCCCTACAAAAGTCACATTGATTTCTAAGTTCGAGGTATACAAAAATCCTACATATATAGACAGCCCATAATACATTGATATTAGTGAGCAACTTTACCCCCTAGGCTTACTCTTTTTTCAAAATATTTATATCCACGCAGCTATTGACCTTCATTTAACAATTACAGAAGTTTGTAGTGTGTCACTTTTCAAAAAAAGCTGAAAAAAACTTCACACAAAGTCCCCGTTCTCTAAGGTACAAGAAACAATTTGGGGCAAGAGTATATCCGGGTTTGTGTTTATCTTTCAACAAGTTTTGCTGCTATTGAAGTAGATGAAATAAGCATCTTATTATGATTCCTCCACCATAAGGTACTTGTACTATTTTGTAAATTGGAGAACAGAATTAAACATTTTTTTAACAGAGTTAGATGTTCAAAACACAACTTTCTGCTATCTTAATAATAAAAAGGTTTTCAGACCAATCAAATGGCCTGGACAATGAAAACGAAGTTTCAAAGCAAAATATAAATAGGGAAGGAAGCCATGTAATTAGTTTCATGTGTGTATCTTGGATGAGCTAAATATGGAGACATTTACATTAGGACCTTAGCATCTTTTGGTGCATCATTATTATTTCTACAGCTTTCAACTTGAACATATCCCATAATTTCTTTGATGAGTACCTTCCAGTCAATCTCCTTCCTTACCTCTTACACATATACTAAATTTCATTAATTCCAAGTTTAAAAAGTCTAAATGCAGCACCCCTATATCAGCATAGTTTTTAGACGACATGTTAGTTACTTGAAATACTTAAACTCCCCTTCTGACACAAAGTGCAGCATTGCTACGATGCAACAATTGAATCCACATGGAAAATCCTGTGAAAATTATCAACCATCAACATATAGTTTGACAAATGAAGCTCAAACCCCCAGCAAAAATATTAGAATGGATATTTATGACCACATGGAGCTAAATGTTAATACTACTTAGGCTAAAATTGTAAGGAGCAATGGATCCAATGTCACGTTCCAAATGACCCTTATTAGGTCTCAACCAAATATCTACTACGTATACCAAGCATTTGATGGACTTTCTTAAGTTCTAGCGTCAAACTCAACACACCATGATGAATATAACAATGTACATATGTCAAAGGTAAAATGTGAAGGTAATTGGTAATTCAATGCTGAAAAGATTAAAGCACTAGTTAGATTAAACCCAAAGAGACAAAAAACATCCTTTGTACAAATAACATCAGCTAAGTGCAATGATAAATGCAGAGGCCAATAGCTGAAAAGTTGTGGGTGGGATATAAAGACAACTATTGTGTGCAAGTAGTACCAAAATTTATGTCTATACCCAGCCCACCCCTCCAAATTATGACTTCAAATAAACAGAAAATACTAAGCCATCATTCCGGAAGCTAGTCCCTAAAACATTCGAAACAATAAGGCAACTAACCAAGTGGCAAGTACAATACATGAAAATAAAAAATACACAATGAGACCTTTAAACAAAACTACTTCGGCATTGCATATTTCCAAATTTAGCGAGTTACCCAGTTCTCATTGCACAGAAGCATATAATTTTATAGAAAAACAAATAAATACTCACTCGAGGCTGCGGATGAAGCGGCCCAGAACGAAATACTTTCTGGATATCTATTCACCAAAGTAAATTTCAACAACTTCCATATCAAGCAAATATGTAAAACTGAGCAATATATAACGAATTATGGTCTTAAGGATACAACAAAGAGCCATGGAAAGAGACCCAGATAGCAAAGAAGACCCAACACCCTCAACTGAGTTCTGCTGGGTCAACTCCTCATCCCTAGTCACAAACTCCTCCAACTTCCCCAACAAACTCTCCGCCCTCTGGTTTGGCGCCGCCAATGAAGAATCATATATATAATCACAGGAATTGTAGCCAGTAGCTATAACTACAACCTGGTTGAGCTGATTGAGTAGAAGAATCGAATTCAAAAACGATAGCACCTGTGTGGATTTGCCAACAAATAACAACACAGTAAAAAACGAAGAAGATTTTGGTGAAATAAGAGAGGTTTTAGAGAGAGAGAGGGATTAGAGGTTTTTACGTGAGATAGGAAGTTTGAGAATGTGAATGTGTTCTTGACTGTGCTCCAGAAGAAGGGGTTGGTGTCGATTAAGACCATAAGAAGACTCACATCGTCTGTAATTTCAAAGCAAACATGAAATACAAATGGTGAATATACATATTCAGAAATGTATGCATATCTTATATATAAGCGCATAAATTGACACAGACACATGCAGGACCTGCGTAGAGCTTTGATGGTACTGTAGTCATGGCTGCTTCTGGATTTTCAGACTAACCCCACGCACGAGAGCGAGAGAGAGAGATGCTGAAAGGAGAAGACAACGTTGGTACTCGACTCGGATTATGCCCGTTTATTGGGCCTCGGCCCAATATCCGTCTGGACCCTGTTCAGCCGATTGGTTTTCTTCCGGTTTTTGTTTGATTTTTTATTCGAGCTGAGAATGAACAATAGTCTATCAATAACACTTTGGATCCAAATAGTTCCTGTGGCTCGCCAATTCAAGGATCCATATGTTCGTGAGTTCGGGTCTGGTCGGGTCGGTTTGAGACAGTCTTGACTCTTCTCAATCCAGACCTCAGTGGAATTACATATAAAGTTTTTTAAAAAAACATTAGTTCCCATCAATCCCACACATAATTAAATCTTATTAAATATTTTGGTTGCTAAAATTATAATTAAATCTATTTATTTTTCTTTTTTAACATGCGAAAATTATTAACTTCTAGGGAAGCTATCTAAATGGAGAGCCTCCGTGTGCATGGGTGGTTGATAAACACGTATTATTGGAATGAAACAGCAGGTAATGGATATATTTCTCCCACCGCTATTGGTGGGTCAAATCCCTCTATTTTATTAGGATTTCTTTTATTTAATTTGTAAGTGTCAAAAAAAGGGGGGAAAGATAAACGATATATAAAAATTGTGTTTTGTATGCTAATTATTACTTGTTGTGATTTAATGCGCTTTAAACTCATAAATAAACACATACAATTAAAAAACAAATCAATAACATAAAACCATGAGAAACAAGAAATAATAAGGCATACAGATTTTACGTGATTCGGTAATTTATCTAAGTTCACAAAGCTGTAGGAATTTCACTATTGAGAGAGAGGAATACAGAGGGCGGCGATACAATACACATCAAATCCTAATCACAAAAACAACAGGTTTTATATGTCTTGCGCACTGGCCTGCAAAACATGGCCCAAAAATTTTTATCGGGGGCGTTGCCCTATCAGCCCAAGCCCCCGCTCCATAAACTAAGCTTTTAAAAAAAATTATTAAAACCCACGCAACATTGTTTCGGGTTGGGTTAGGAATTGAATAAATATGATCCTTAGCTCTAACAGTGGCCTACATTAGTGACAGAATAATTATTGATAGAAAGGTTCAGTTGCGGAGACTTGTACACACTCACAAAAATGCTAGGTGCAAAATAAACCCCATACCGATCCAAAAAAAAAAAATTTAACCTCATGAGACACTTTTGAATATGTTTATTGATCGAGTTATTACAAAATATACTCTAATTTTATAAAATGTGTTTTATTAACCGCTTAAGCTTTAATTTGTTTCAATTAAGCTTTTTTAATTGTTGAATTAATTCTACATTGCCTTAGATACTTCGATTAAGCATTGGGGGAAGTGGGGTTACAAGTTAAGGTTTAATTCTAAAGAAAAAAAAAGAAGAAGATGACAAGCAGGTCATAGAGTGGTCTGATTAGGTTAACGGTGTTTGAGATTTTATTATTATTTAACTGAAATACTTATCTGAATCGATGATCTCAAACAAAAGTGCTCGATTTCTTACAAACTCTATAGAGTCGCACCCATATTGATATCGGACCCAGGGTCAACCTTAATCAATCAACTGCTAACCGTGTTTAATGTGTTCATAAGTTAATAGGTTGGATACTTGATTTATTAATGCAATTTTTAAATGAGCTAGATAGTATTGTTTTAGTTACTTAAATGAATATTATTGGTGGTTAGCCGCTATGCTAACTTAGTTAGGTTTGGTTTCAAGAAGTGTTTCAGACGCGGTCAGGAATCTTATGATTCCACCGGTGATGACCTATTGGGGTGGTCGCTGGACGTTTTTTTTTGCCCCCACCCCTTTTTTTCATGAGTAAAAAAAAAAAAAAAAACTTAAATGAATTAAAATTGTTTCAGAATTAATAACCAATGAGCTGAATACTTTTTAACTGCACAAATTTTTGCCCATAGTGACGTATAGAGTAATTTTGCCAAATACCAAAGAATTTGAAGATGTTAAAGGTTAATCCGTGCAATGTAATTATAATTATATTTTAATCAATTCACCCAACGGTAATGATGTTAAAATATGTAGGAGTGCAACTTGGGTTGGGCAACCCAAACCCAACCCAACAAAATTAGGGCTTGTGCAAGAGTTTTTAATATTTGGATTGGGCTTGAGTCAAAAAATCTCAACCCGAATTCAATTTAGGTTGAACTCGGGTTAAGGCCTCGTGAACCCGAGTTCAACCCAAACCCGACAAATTAAAAAAAATTATATATATATAAAGCATTAGCATTGATTTTTTATTTTTGTTCTATCATTCTCTGTCTCTCTCGTTCTCTCAGCCTCTCTCGTTAAAAATTTGTTGAAGTTATTTGTTGTTAATTTAGGTGAATATTATGTAATATATGTATTAGGTTTAGAACAAAAAATATATTTTGGACTCTACACGAATTGAACCTGTAAGTAACCTGAAACCATCAACTCGAATTCAACCTGAGCCCGCCTGAATTAAACTCGGGCAGTGCTCGGGTTGAGTTCCCCAACCCGAGGTAGGGTTAGAGTTGAAGATTATATATTTAGGGTTGGGCTAGGGTTGATTGTCCAACCCGCCCGAGTTGCACCCCTAAAAATATGATATAATTCGTTGATACGATATAAAATCAGAGGGTTTAAATATTCCTCAAACCACCTGTTTCATAAACGAGTGAATCCGACACAATTAATAAATAAATTGGATATAAATGAATTCAATCAAAATAAATAAACGATATGATTCGTTTATATACCGATTATTATAACTGACAATTATAGACACAACTCGTGAAACCGACACGGATTTAACGGGTTTGGGTGTAGTTTTAATGGGTTGGGGTGGTTAATGAGTTAACTCAACAAACCCGTGAAATAAACGAATTGGTTTCGTATTTAACCCATAAACTCGTTTCAACCTGTTAATAGTGGTACAATAAATTTTTAAAAAACAAGTTAAGTCTCTCAGCCTCTGTTTCATCTCACACCTCTCATCTCTCATAATTATTCAAATTTAGTAGTCATTTAATGTTTATTTTTTATCTTTATTTTTTTGTTCAATCATGATTTATTGTTATAGTAAATAGGTCAAACATGTGTAATGTGTGGCGAGTTAATGATTTTTCATGTAGGCTTGAAATTATATAATATATTCTCTTATTTAGTAGATGACACACGGGTAATATTGGATAACCCGTCTAATAAATGATTTGTGTATAAGTGTGATAGTTAGACTCGTTTATATAAACGAATAGGGTATGGATGGAGAAGTTTTTGACACAAACTGATTTCACCCGACACGAAACGGTTTCACTCGACACGATTGCTAGACCTACCGATTATACACGGCATAGACACGATATGACAAGACTTGTTAAACATAACTTAATAAATAAATCGGGTATTGTGGAATAGTTTTTGATGTCTACCCAACACGCTCAATTTGCCACCTATACTTGTGCTCTATAAATTAAATTTTGCTAAAAAAATAAAGAAATTTGAGCCAAATTAGTGAATTACCTCTAATTCGTTCAGGCGTCGAAAATCCCTAAAATATGGTAAAAAAAAAAAAAAAGATACTACGGGTTAATTATAAATTATATCCTGAAAGATCATTTTAATTTTAATTTATACTTTTAAAGATTAAAAATTTTAATTTATATCCTTAAAAATAAAAATTTGTATCAATGCATACCTGAAACTAACTATCATTGGTTTGCAGTCTAAAATTAAATGGGTAAATTACGTCTAGATTTCTTTATATTTGTCATTTAATCGTTTGGACCCTCCTCAAATTTAGAATATTAATAATACATCTCCTAACATTTGTGCACATGTAACAGATAACCCTTTGTTATTGATATTTATTAATATAACCGTTAAAAAAATATGATTTCATTCTAATAAAAAAATTATAATTTTATATTACCCTTTATTTTGTGGGTCCATTATACTCTAAAGTTCAAAATCAAGTTTATCATTTGAATGACCAATATAACACAAGTATTTATATAACGTTCTTTATATCCTATGTAATACATCATTTTAACATAATTATTTGAGTGCCTAATTGAAAAAACATTTTTAGTCATATTTGAATTATCATTGGATGTATGTGTAATATTTCAAATGTGAGGGATTTAAGTAATTAAGTAACAAACAAGAGGTGGTCTAGATATAATTTATGTATTTAGTTTTAGACTGACGACCGTTAACTTGAGGTGTGCATTGATATAAATTTTTATCTTTGAGGTGGTGTTTGGATCAGCATAAGAGGATTGAATATCAATCCGAACCCAATCCTATCAAATGCAAAGTGGTCCGAATTTGAAGATTGTAAAGTTAGGATTCAAATCTTATTGCATCTTTAGATAGGTTTCATTAAATTTGTGGGTCTCGTTCACATGTGAACATAAAACATATTAAAATGACTATTTCAACATTGTATAAAATAATGTTATCCAATCCTATACCATGTTTGTCATGAAATAAAAAAAAAATCCAATCCATTAGCAATGTCATATTTGCGAAAAAAAAAACATGAATCAATAAAATATGCATTTTTACAAAATATTGCAATAAATATTTTATTTATTTATTAAATTTAATTTGTACAATATACTTTTACTCACAAAAATCATATGCATCATGAAGAAAAAATTTTAATTTTCAACACAAAAACAATGCAATTGGATAAAAAATCCAAACTTGTGTGTTTAAAAGATAAAACTTAATTTTTGTTTTCAATAAATAGGAAAAGTTATCCAAACCATATTTAATATTTTCAATGATCGAAATGTAATTTATTTTCTATGAATTTTAGGGTATTTTAATATTATTGCATGAATTACTAGCACAAATCATGTCAATTTAAAATATATTGCTTTAATACAAATGTTAATTTTTTTTAGATTTCATGTATAAGGAAACAAATGGTTGAGCATAAACTTTTTAATATCTTAAAAATTTAAGAAATAATGAGACGTAACACCAAAGAACAATTAACTATTTTTAATGAGATTCAAACCTTTTAATTCAAAGTTGAGGTAGATCGAATATTTTTACACACTTTCTCTCAAATCATGTGCTTGCATGCTACATTCTGTCAATTGAAACAAAATTTGTAATGGTGGCAATTTAGTTCAAAAGTATAAGATACTTATATGCTATTTTTTGAACATAGGGGGTAAAGTGCAAAAAACCCAAACCACTACCATATAAACTGAAATTTAAGCTGGTTAAATTGCTCATCTTCCCTGGCAAAACGCGAAGAGAGTTTCGGATGCTTCCGCTTCTGCATCAGACAGAGACAAAGACAAATACAGAGAGAGAAAGAGAGAGAGAGAAGCATATGGAATCAACACAACGATAAGGCCGCTGAGAAGGCCTGATACTAAGCCTTCTCATTCGCCTGATAAAGAGATGAAGGGACATGTATAAAGGGAGCTTAGGAGTTTGATAACGCGCCTGATCAGGACAATGAAGGGGCAACTGATAAGGGTTCTCTGTGCTTCCAATAACTCTGGTAAGCCATCCGTTTCTCTATGTCAAGTCCCACGAAACTCCAATTCTTTTTCAGGCAAGTTCTCTATGTGAGTGAGAGAAAGAGGAGAGAGATATTTGGTTCTATTAAATGGGTTTTGCTTGGTTTGTTTTGGTTTTGATTATAGTCTGGAAATGACTAATGGATGTGTACATTTTCTAGTTGAACTAAAATTACTTGAGAAAAACATTCTGTACAGTTGTGGAGGGTATTTTAGATTTTAACTGTGTGTGCAGGATCCTGCACAATATAAAAAATGAAAACAGATCTCTCCCTTGGTGAACTTCGAGTGAGTCAGTTGAGTGATCAACCACGCTGCTTGGGACAGCCTGCAAGGTACAGTGGTAACCTGGAACGGCAACGGGAGACCCTGGGGAAGGAAGAACGATCCTGTAAGGCTGAAAGGGGTTCTTAGAACAAAGAAGAACAAGTTAGAAGGGCGCCAGAGTGTTTTCCGGCGTATCCCCTCCGACGGTCTAGTCAGTCTTTGAGTGAGAGAGAGAAGGAGAAAACACTGAGAAAAAACGTATTGTAGTAGAGAGTTTGTTGTTGCATACCCGCTTTGTCTTTTGCAAAGAGTATTTATACCTTAAAAGCTCATGATTGCTGTCAGTGTCGTCAGTAGGTGATCATTAGGCTCAGGTAGCGTGTGCATTGATTCTGATGAGGAATGTCTTCTCTAATTAACTGCTCGGGGTCCCGAGCAATCAATGCTGGATCGTCGGGATGCCGACGGTACAATGTGCTTCTCTCGGGGAGGATGCAATAAATGCTCTGTAATAGGAGCATTTATTGCCTTTCATTTCCGAGCCTTACCGCATTGAATGCGGTCTCATCAAGGGAATGGTGCAATTAATTGTTTACTTTCCCAAGTCGCGTGTTAGCAACGACATGCGGTTTGTCTGTCTCTGATGTGATATCATATGCCACGCGTCCATCCCCTATTGGCTGTGACCTCTGTATTCCAGTACGTTCTAACATTACTTGTGTAAGACGAGGTCATGATGAATAGCCTAGACTAGCCTAGGCTAATGACCTGCACGTCAATAGCTTATCCTAGAATAAAGGAAGCGTCCAGGACGGGGTACCTCTCGGCACCGAGGAAAGGCTGATCTCGGGGATCGAGGGAGTTATGCCGACCGAGGTACGTATCTGACCGAGGACATGTGTCGGTTGTAAAATAAACTGAGTGTATGATCCTACATGACAGTACCTCGGGGGCGAGGGCATTCGTACGCCGATGGTGCTTGATCCTAGCAACAGTGTTTTAGTAAACCGAGGACACGTGTCTTCATCATAGGATATTTCAGAAAAGTCCCATCATTAACCATTTAATTCGACTTCTCTTTTCAATGATCCCTTACAGCAGAAGAGATTTTTGAATCACTAGCAAATGAGATTCTTTAATTCAAAACATACGGCCGATATTTTCAAAAGCAACGAAAATTTAATTCCAAACAACTTACCCAAACAAAGGTTAAATAAACCATTCACAATTTTAATTCAATCTTCTTGTATCCCCCTCCAAACACTATCTGAGGGTATAAAATATGATTTTTGAGGGTATAAATTAAAATTCAAACTATCTTTTAGGGACAATTTGAGATTTACTATGACACTACACCGCGGAAAAAAAAAACGAATACAATATTACCGGCCACCGGTTACATCGGTTTCATCTATAAATGTAATTTTTTTTTTTACCAACTAACAGTGTCCTGTTCAAGGCGGGAACGATTTCCTAATTCCCTCCATTGACCGACCCCCTCTCTCTTGCTATCTAAAAAATTCTTAACAAATCCCCCAAATTTCACCAAAAAAACCCTAGATTTCCTGAACCTTTTTTTTTGAACGGTGATTTCCCGAACCCTAAATTACCCAATTTGATGGAGAATTCGGCTGCCGTGGAGTTAACGGTCGGCGGAGATTGGGGGCTGCCGGAAGGTACACGTGTGCGCCGGAGATTGGTTCAGTCGACATTGTTTCCTCACAAGTCTCAGGATAATGGGAAAGAGAGCGTGGTTAAAGAAGAGGAAAATTGTGGTGGGGAGGACGATCAGGAGGAAGAGGAAGAGGAAGAGGAAGAGGAAGAGGAAGAAGAGTACTGTGGGAGTCAAAGTGATAAGAAGAAGAGAAAGCGAAAATCGAAGCCAAAGGCAAAGAAAACTCCTCAATCGCGTGCTCCCAAGAAGGTGCATTGTCTTGCTGGAAAATTTATATGAATCAATTCCATGTCTGTTGTGTTCGATCGGAGTAATTTAGTGCTAATATATAATATTTTTGGAGTTTTTTTTTTCTGCAAAAGATGAAAACCCTAGGCCAAACCGAAGATTTTAAGAAGGTAAATTGTTTGGCTTTTGATGGAAATTTGCCTAATTTCGTGTGAATGTTCTCTCTTTGAACTGATAAAATATTTTGATTGGTGTTTATTTGATTTTGAAGGATGAAAAAAGTTACCGTAAATAGGTTATCTATACTGCAAGGCTCAATTTCGTTATTTGTTATCTGTAGTAGTGGGTTCCCAACCCAATGGACTGATCTGGCACTTGAGAAAAGGAAGGGCCTCTAAATCCCATGGCATTGACTGTAACGCTCCCAAGTAGGTCAGTAATAGGCTGAGTGGCTGATAGACCATGTGATCACTGTTGCTGTTTGCAGCTGAAGGAGATCTTTGTGGCATTTTTTTGCCCACACACTTGCGTTTAAAAAATTACTGAAAAGCTAAAGATTAGAGACACTGTTGAAGTTGTAGGGTGATAATGAATTTCACATGCGATGATTGGATGTGACAATTTTGTCTTGTAGGATGATTTTAGGTTTGGGTTCTGATGGGATATGATTACACAGATGCTTTTCTGAAAAACTGAAAGCAAGAGTTGGTTTTGAGATGATTTGAGCTGGAATTTAATTCAGAAGTCAGCCGTAACCATACGTCCTGTAATCTGGGACATTAAATAAAAACTACAATGATTTATCATAGACCATGGAGGATCCCTATTGTTGATCACTTCCGAAGTTCAACTGATGCATCAATAAAAGCAAATGATTCACTCTGTGGAAGATAACGAGTAGGGATTCGTCTTGCCAACCTTGTCTAGTGATTTGTTACCACAAATAATCTATATTACTTATAATTGGTAGTATCTGTGAAATACTTTTGATTTTCTATTTTGTCACTAATTATTATTATAAAGTCAATTATATCAAAATATTTACTTTTATTTACTTTTTCTTTTTATATTTATTTGACTTTTAAGTTCTTTTGAACTCTTTTATTAATAATGCTTGACTTCTAAGTTCTTTAGATCTCATTTATTAGTAGTACATTTATATACAATTTTTTATATATATATCTAAATTTACTTGAAGAAGTAAAATACCATCTATATTATATTATTATATAGGCGTAGTTGTCAAATTGAATTCTGCAGTCAAATACATGTCATATTTTTTTTTTTTTGGTAATCAACAATGTCATAATATTATCATACAAACAATAGTATCTCAATTTAATCAATCTCTTTGACAAAACAATATAATAAATCTATAATATAATTAGATGTGGAAATATATAATCTTACAATGAAGCTCCATTATGAACAAAAGAGGAAATGTCTAAAAGGGTTGAAGAGATATTTAAAAAAATGAAAGATTATGTACTCAAAGAAGGGTAGAATAGGTCAGTAATTAGGTTTAACAATAATTAAAATAAGAATTAGTTATTCAACACATAATTTATTATTCAATTTTATTACATACCTTATTTGAATTTTCTATAGAAAAATTATTATTTGAATATGTTCATGTGCATCGCATATCTTCTAGTCTTTTCATGTATCTTATCAATCCTGGAACTAAGAAGAGGGAACAACAAGGTCTCCTTTTGTTAATTTAGATTATAGTATTTGTTCTATGTCCGATTAAGTTAAATTTATGGGATTCGATTATTTGATTTTTGCTATGTTGTTTATGAGATTCAATTAATTTTGGTGGCTGTTTGCGATTTTCCCTTCACATGGGCTTTTCCTTGGGTTTTCAATTGCGGTCTTGTGGATGAGCCAAGTTGCCCAAGCCTGGGTAGAGCTTGACTTGGTTACGACTTGTTCAATGGCTCTTGAGAAGTTAGTGATACTGATCTTGAGCTTCTTTATTTTAGCTCGGTTGGGAATCACGACAAACTTGAGCAACAAGTTGTTAGACCAGATAAGTTGGGGTTGCATATGTGAGTGGGTGCTTAGGGAATATGGGAGCTACTAGACTAGTAATGTTATAGAGGGTAGTAGAGAAGGATGGATGGATTTGCAGGGTTTTTAAGTTTTGGGTGGAAATCAGAATAGTCAAAAATTGCAGTTTTAACTAGATGCTTTGTGTGGAGAGTCTGGCATAAAGAGACTTTTATTGACTTGTTAGGTAAGTAATGGACAAATAGACTATTTGGGGGTTGTGTGGTGTTTGGGCCTTTTGGTGTGGTGGAGTACATAAGATTCCCAATTTTTGAGGGGTGCTCGGGGTGGGGAATTAGAGTTACCAAATTGCCAATTTGCCTTATGAAGCATCAGTTGGTGGTGGCTGGTAGGATATCTTGACATATAGGCTTCCATTTCAAATTTGAGGTTACCTCTTTGTGTGAGGCTTTGTGTTGGGAGACAGGACTTGGCCATTCTTTTGTAGGCCATCTGCCCTTTTTAGTTGCCTTCCAAGCTGGGTTTCGAGATGACATTTTCATTGGCCAGACATTGTAACCTATTAAAGTGGAAAAGGGCTTCCTAATTAGATCTTCATGTATAAGAGAGGCAAGGAGAATGCTAATCATCTCTATTTGGATTGTGGTGGCCATAAAAACTTTTGGTGTCTAGAAGTTGAATAGATGATGCCTAATTCTTCTAATGCGGTGTTGAGTAGTTGGTAAGGGGGATCTAATAAGAAAGGTGTAAAGGGTTTGGTCCTTATACTTTTTGGGCATCTGGTTGGGGCATATTAGGAGGTCCTTTCAAGGAGTAGATAGGCATAGTTTCTGTAGACTTCTTTATGTTGTTGTTATGAAGGCAAGGATCAAAATGTCGTGTCGACACGTCTGAAACGTCCGAAACGTTTCGGAATTTCAACACTCCGAAACGAAACAGTAGTTGAATCACAAAATTCCAGTGTTTCGGTCGAAACGGTACTGTTTCGGACCGTTTCGGTCGAAACGGCATTGTTTCGAACCGTTTCGACAAAACAGTGATATATTCGGTTCATTATGAATAATTACATTTAATACCCCATTATAATTACATTTAATACCCACTGTAATTACATTTAATACTCACTATAATTATATTTAATATCCCACTATAATTACATTTAATTCCCACTGCTCTTCTGTCTTTTATAATTTTTTTGTTATAAGAATAAATAATTACACTTAATACCCTACTATAATTATATTTAATACCCATTATAATTATATTTAATACATACTGTAATTATATTTAATACCTCACTGCTGTGCAAGTTTTTTGCTTTTTTTTTTTTTTGTTATAAGTATTAACAATTACATTTAATACCCTAATGTAATTATATTTAATACCTACTGTAATTACATTTAATACCCTCTGCAATTACATTTAATTTTTAAGTATACATAAGTATCATTAATTTAATTTGATACCCTTCATTATTAGTATTATAATAAAATAGTATTATTAATTGGATTATATTACCGTAATAATATGATTTGGAGTAACTATTGTCATCATATTTATGTCACATATGGAGTTTCTCTAAGTAGCTACCCAGAGCCTACACCGATGTATGAGCCTGCTCGACACTCCACAGGGGAATGGATGTAACCATGTAAGTATGTACTCATTAGCATTTCATGTGTATTATAAGACCTTAATATTATGTAAAAATATGTTTATTTCATAAAAATTAAGTGTTTGAAACTAATTTAAGTGACTTTCGCCTCAAGTCAAGCCTTTTTTTCTCTCAAATTTAAATTTATTCTTGTATAAATTGATGTTAACCTAATAAATATGTTGAATTAATAAATTATTTAGCATATCTTTATAAATTAATGGATTGCATTTGTGTTTCTATGCGTTTCCATATTTTTTCTGCGTTTCCATTGCGTTTCCGAAATGTTTCCGAAACGTTTCTATTTTTGAGTTGACCGAAACGGTACTTCGAAACGAAATTTTGATCCTTGTATGAAGGAAACTTGTTTTTTTCCTAATTATTTGTGTGTTTGTTGGCAGTATTAGTTGGTTTAATGAGGATTAATTTTGATTACACCCTTAGCCATCTTTGTGTGCGCATGGGTTGTTCTCTTACCAACAAATCTTGGATAATGCAAAAAACCCTTTTTCTTTTGTGTAAGATTGACGATGCAAGGAGGTGATTTATGACAGCTTTACTAAACTAGGAATCTAGTTGTTTTTGGTAGGGATTAAGGCTACTGAAAGGTCGTAGAGTAAGGTTCAAAAGAGTGGAAGAATGGTTGCTAGTCTTGTAACAACAAGGGGTAAGAAATTGGCTTTATTTTGGGAATGTTTGGTTGTATTTCTGGATTAAGGTTAGCAGTAGTTCTTTACAGGATGTAATGCTGCATTACGGTTTCTTAAATCAAAGGCCTAAAGATAAAGAAAAAGGTTGATGCCTTTTGAGGCTGGTGTTAGGGTTTTGGTAACATAAAGACATGGGTTTAAGGGCTTTCAAGGGTTGTTCTTGTGCTGGGAACAATGACCTAGAGAGGTAATATTGATTTTTTCGGAAGATAGTAGTTGAAGGCAATGATTGGGCTGAATAAGCTAGGATTGAGGTGAAAGTGTAAGGAGAGCTCGTATCCCAGATTGAATGATTAAGACCAACCAATGTTTTTATACGTTTAAGGTGCCTCTCAAGTCTCAACTCATTGCCATTTGGGTTTAGTTTGGATGTTTTAACATGGTATCGTAGCTTAGCCTTAAGTGATCATTGGGTCAAATTTCTTACCCTTTTGAATTTTGCGGTATGCATGTTTGTTTGTTTTCTTAGCCCCACGTGCGAGCCCGAGTCTCACATGCATGAGAGTGTAAAGACAAGTAGTATCCCACTTTGAATGATTAGGACCATCTGAGGATAATTTATATGCTTAAAGGTCCGCTTTCTTTATTGCCAATTGGTTTTTAGTTAGATTCTTTAACTAAAAGAAGTTTTAAAATCTAATTGTAGCCACAAAAGACGTTTAAACAGAAGGAATCGAAGAGGAAAAACTTGATCTAAGATACCTCCCTAAATTCTTTACTATTAATCGCCTACGAAATGTTCAATCATGTTTCACATAAGCTTCACCACAGCTTCTCAAAAGTCAATGATGTTACTCGAAGGATGACATGAAACCTAAGAGTGTGATGCACAAATGAAGAATCATCTACTCTTTGACTCTGACTGATTTAGATGAGTTAAATACCATATTAAACGACCAACCAACAAATTTGGGCCCAAAAATCAATCCACAGACCAAAGTGTTGGAATGGAAATCTCAAGAATCATTGACAGCGTGTATGTATCGAATACCAAAATTTTTTCTTTAAAATCCTATAAAGCGAAATTAGGGTTTACCTTTAAGATCGCTCTAGCTTGATCTTGTCTCAGCATGAACGCAGAACCTAACAACGAATACGGAAGACAGTTCAACGAATCTCGTGGTTTTCTGTCGTATATCCCTCAACGTTAGAGTCCGGATGCAGAGTGAGCTTTTAAAATCTCCGAACTTTTTCTCTCCCTTTTAGTCTCTCTAAAAAACGTGAGTAAAGAATAGATGCTAATTTAGAGAGCCTAGACGTCTATATATAGGCTACGACAGAAACCCTAAGGATAAATAAAGATTGGCTTCCAATGGGCATAGGATTCCTATGTTCAACGCAGAACAAACATCCTATATCCCATTAATAATAAGTCAGTCCACTAAAAGTTTATTATTGATTTCTTAAGCCTTATCTTGAAATTATATTCGAGCTTTTTATTATTATATGCTTAATAATCTCCTCACGTTTAAGATTACCGAAGTTCATCAATTAAAGAGATTATTGACAATTATATTTAATTGACTTATTTTATTCCTTGAGACTTTACCACTCAACTTATTTGTCATGTCGGATAATTAAATTCACCTGTAGGGTTTGACATGAACAAAACTTATAAGCTTTTTCAAGAAGACATCATCAACTCATTTAAATAATAGGACGTGATTTTTTTAATAATTAATTTTTACCATATAAATAATATTGTCTTTCAATTCACCGAGTTTATTGACTCAATATGAATCTCATTCTTTGATGAATTAAAGTGACAAACATTATATGTACGTGACAATTAAATATATCAGGATTAAGAGCATAAACAATTATAATAATCATGAGGTATTTATTATCTTATTGAATTAGTAAAAGATAATAAGCTCAATATGAGTCTGTTCAATACACAAAGTGTACTAGTGCAATAATCCGAGATATGAAACAGTCTCCTACAATCAAGACAGACTATGTTAGAATATTACACTATAATTATATTGATGGTGTGTCTAATTTCATTTAGGATTATGAACCAATACTAATATTATACAAGGATCCGATAATTTGATCTTCTGTGCATAAGCTGAACTCTACATACCAGATTATCTATAATATAAAATATAAGACACATGCATACCATATGCAAATATTTTGCCCATATAGATTCTCAATAAAATGGAAAGAATAAACTTTTATTAATTAATAAAACGAGTTTACTACAAAAAACAAGCTTTTATTATACTACTCAATCACAAAGTTTAATCAATGTCTAGCAATAGTAAAGAATGCCCAATACCCTTGAATCATGAAAACTGATTAAGTATGAATAGGATACATCCAGCAACGTATCAACCTTAAAATATCATAATTCACTAACCCTAAACTTGACTCCTCAAGTTCCCAAGTATGCTTCATGCAACATTTCTGAATTGATTTTTTTCTTTCTTGTATGCTTCACGCTAGGAGGGTAAGAGCATCTTAAATGAATACATACCATATGAATTGTATATGTTTTCATATAGATGTGTATGTTGTGTTTGCTCTTTTCATATTCTATTGCCAATCTATTTTCGGCATGTTGTATCCTGTCATGTTCGTATTGTTGTATCCAAGGGTCAAAATATTGTTTCGGTCACCTAAGAAACGGAAACGTTTCGACCCGTTTTGGAAATTTAATTAAAAAAATAAAAAATTTAAGAATTATTTTTTTAAAACATTAATGAAAATATATTAAAATATCTTGAAATACCTTGAAACATTCTAAAATAATTGTGCAAATACATTGAAATATTATAATATATTTAAAAATATTATGGAATACCTCGAAATATCATAATTTTGATTTTATTACTGTTTCGTTTCGGTTTCCTTAGAAACGGAAACGTTTCGGATGTTTCGAAACGATATTTTGATCCTTAGTTGTATCCTATCGTGTCTATGTCTTGTGCTTGTGCCCATGCAACAAAGCAGACAAGAATGACATACAATGAATGGAGATATTAAACTAAAGAGAAAATGATTGGTTAGAATACAGTATAGTGTTCGCTTGATGTGTTGTGTGCCTTTTTTTTTTTTTGGGGGTGGGGGGGGGTTGCATGACATGGTCCTAGGGTAGTTCTAAGTTCTCCTTTAAGCTATAACCTCATTCTTAAACCTACTTATCGTCAGCATCCTGACAATGATTAAGATTCTTCATCGATTTAATGGAATTTGACATTATTGGAACGCATATACCCAAAACTAAAATTGCAAGGAACCTCACCGTGGTTGTTGCCTTGCTCCCTTCATTTCTGCAGATCTATGTCCCGGCTCCACATCATGAGACTCTTCCATATTTGACCCCAGGCTAAAAGAAAGTCCGACATTCTCAGAACGCAAATGCCCAAAACTAAGTTAGCAAGGAACCTCACTGTGGGGGTTGCCTTGCTCCCTTCGTTTCTGAAGATCTATATCCCAGCTCCACATCATAAGACTCTTCCATATTTGACCCTCCAACCCCTATCCCCAAGCTAAAAGAAAGTAAAAGGAGAAAGAAATGAAAAGAAAAATTAGTGATTTACTTCATACAGTGCCAGTTAAACAAGTTTGTTAGGCCAAGATAGAGTTGTTCGTATTTGATACTAACCTGACTCGCTTATTGTTCGTGAAAACTGTTTGTGTCATTTTAGAGGTGGTGTCGAGAACTAGTTACCTGTTGTGTCGTATCGAAAATTGCCACCCCTATACTCTCGTTTGGCCAGCTTCTTGCGCAGGGAATCTCCCTTTACCGTAAACCTCCACAACCATTTCCCAAGAGTTCTTGATAAGGAGTGACCCAGCTTCATCACCAGGAGTTCCTATCTTGCAGCTGAGGGTACAACACATCTCGTCCCCCAAGTGTTACTTATAATCACTCCTCACCCTCATAAAGAGAAAGGGTATGTGAAAGTAAGGAAATTCCTTAGTAAGGACATACCTAAAGTTTTTTGATTATTTATATTAAGCAGTGAATGATCCCAATAATTAATCACTGCCAGTATTATGTGACCACTGACTAGTAAATCTGATCGAATTATCAACATAAAACACAATATATTTTCCTTTAACATTGGATGAGTGGAAACCAGTCATTTTTCTCGTCAATTTCCTTAAATATCACCATTTTTTTTGGTTATTCTGATTGAAATCTGCATCCAGTAGTTGTTGGAAGAAAACTTGCTTCTATGGAGCATTGCTTTTAGTGCTCACCCATTCTTGTTAGTGCGACAAACATACATGTTACTTCCAACTGAATTTATATGTCTCTATTTATAGCAGGTTTTTGGTGATAGCAAAGATATTCCAACCAAAAGAGTGGATTGTGAAGATTCTCCAGATACTGTCAGTAAGTGGGTGCTTTGCTGGAAATCAGCTCCCTTCTGTTTGATTTTTGTATCTCATGAATTCTGGAGTACTGAAACTAGAAACATTAAAATCACACACTGCAATTTTTTTTTCTTTTCTGCAGAGTCTGATTTCTTTGAAAAGGTTTCGGAGAGATGGCGCCAAAAAAGACAGCAAAAAGAGCAGCTCTGTGTTGATTCACCCGGAGAAAATGATAAAACCAATTTGCCTCCTGACTCTGCCACCAGTATGTTTATTTCCTGATATATGAGTTAAAATAAGTTTGCTGCAGTTCTTAACTCAACATGTTAATATAAGAACATGGAGAGCTTTTGAGAATGATTTTTGATGATGAAAGGAATTTTAGACATACCAGCCTAAGTGTTGTAGTTGATGTTAAATAGAAAATTCTCTATAGATATCATAATCATTTTTGCCCGTAAGGAACAAAGGGTAGTCTTATGCATATCGGGGCTGGGTATATACCATACCTATGGCTGAGCAGTCCAAGCTAGTGATTTGCAACCATGTCTGGCAGTATTGTTTGCCATTATTTGGTAGTCCAACATGATCAATCTAAGTTCAGCCTATAAAGCTTCCATATTGGTGCTGAAAAAACTGTGAGAGGAGAAAAAGAATTTGATTCCAAGAGCAAGAAATGGAAAATCCAAGTGTATGTAGTAATTTTTTAATGCATGGGTTTGTTCAATGGTCAAACAGCAAATAGGCGTGAATTTGTACGTCTTGAGTTTGAGTCGCACTAGATGCATCAAACCTGTGTTTTATTGATATATATGATTAACGGGTGGTTGCATGCATCTGAGGGTTGCGCATGGTTGGGACTCTTTCAAACAACATGTAATGCTACTCAATGAAAATAGTGGGTTGTACGTAAACACCACCTAACAATAGTGAGGAAAAGGAGGTCCCTTGGGAAGATCTATGATATAAAATCTATTTTATGGCATCTCTTTGGGTGTTCATGTTTAAGGACTTGAAGGGATTCTTTTATTTTTGTTTGAAGACCACTGGCCTCAAGTGTGCAAAAAATGGTGCCATTTTAGTTTTTCATTTTCCTAGTGTCATCCTCGTTTTGTATTTGCTTAGGCTTTCCTTTTCATTCTTTCTTTATGTATCTTTTGAGGACTTCTTTCCCTCTCATGTACTATTTCTTAAATCTTTAATGATATTCTTATCGTTTCCTATAAGAATTGGTATGAAGGCCGGATAAGGTTGTGCTTTTCCTTTTTTCAGCCTCACAAAGTAAGCTCTCAAAGTCCTACCTTAATCTTCTTCTTGGATTTCAATGTTCATGATTGTAAAAGGAAAGATCCTAAAACCAGTATAATTTGCAAAAGAATAAATTTCAGCAAGTCCTCTCATAATTTTAATGCAAGTACTGCGGCACAGCTTAGATATTGGATTCCTAAACACCGACAGTGTTAATGAATCACTTTTTTTAAACATGCAAGTTTTTCGACAACTTGTATTTTAACTTCAAAAAAAGGTCCATTGAACCCTCATCAGTTGCCCCAGCTTAAGACCTTGTCCAACCGGCACATGGTCTGGTGGGGTCATAGCATAATCCAAACCATGATCGAACCCTAAATACGGCTAGGTAAGGTTTGCATAATTATGGGATCATCCTTGAGGAATGCATTGGGGTGGTAAATACAACATTACTTCTTGAAAAAAAATTAAAGTTGCATAAACCCTTTTTGAGAATGAATGCCCAAAATTCCAATAAGATGGGAAGCAGTTGACATCTGAAGTTTTTCATAAACCCAATTCGTATTGTGCTTAACCTTTATATCAAGTTGAAAGGAACTTTGATATTAGAAACAAATATGTGAAACCAGGGCTAAATTGCCAATATAGTGTACATTGCCAAAAAAATTTCTTAATTGTCTATTGAACACCTGGGTTTATATTAATATATCAGAAATAGAACAGCCTTGTTTGCTTCGATTTAGTGACTGTGCATTACTCTTTCTTCAACATATTTGTTGAAGAAATACCTACTCTTCAGAAACCTCTTGTGAAGAAGTGTTTGCTTCTCATGTGGAGGTTTTTCATCTCGTACGCAACATAGAGCAGAAAGAGTTGCAGCTAAGAAGTTTATGGAATGTTTTGCAAGATGCTTGCATTTAATGCTGTCTACCGAAAAAACAGTGCTCATATTGAAAGTTTCAAACATACCTGAATCAAATTCTCCCCGGAAGGGTTTTTTTTGGGTGTGGGGGTGCTCTTTTATTCTGGTTAATTGATTGAATAATTTTGTATTCAATTTATATCCAGAAGATATGAAGAGCCCTCGGCGGTCAAAGCAGCGGGCTAATACTACCCCACAGAAGCGGAGGATGAATTCTACACCGAAAAAGAAAGTGATGGATAGCGGCCTAGAAGAAGCATGTTCTGGACCAATATCAATTAATGCAGTACAGAGTGTCCATTCTTCACAACTAATTCCTGATCTGCGGTTAGAAGCAAAAATGACAGCTGAGGTTAGCCAAACACTCTGCTCTCTTTGACTATGATGGATAGTCTTTGTTGTTTTTCCTTTTCTCAGGATCTGGTCCCTTGGCCGGATCTGGCTCTCGGTCCTCGTGCTCATTTACACTTTACTTTCTATCACTTGCGGCAATGTAGATAGATTGTTGCAGATGAAGTTTTCTTTTTGGTTTATTTTTAATTTTTTTATTTGATTCAGGGAAGATACAGTGCTGCACTTGTTTCATTCAAACATTTGGTCAATTATTGCATTTTTAGGCTGTAAAAATGTTTGGTCTCTAAAGATCTTTCTTTGTTTTGTCAGGAAAATTCACGTATATTTGTGGGGAAGCAAGTACATCCATTTTTCTCATCATGGAAAATGTGTAAGAGAAACCACGAGATAGCTGATGCTAAATTGTGCTCTATTGAGAAAAAGAATAAACGTGTTACTTTCAGCCCTATTCATGTATTTGAGAAAGTTGAGGTACTCAGTTTTCCTTTTTTAAGAAGTATCTCGCTGATCCTGTTGGCATTTTGTGTTCACTTTTCTCACATAGGTGAATTTGAAATTTGCTCATGCAGGATGATGTTGTATCTCTTGATTGGGAAAATTGGATATTTTCTGAAAGTGGTTTTGTCAGTAATACTTGTCTAGGCAGTGGGTCTTCATCAATTTATGAAAGACGTGTCAAGTTCTTACAGTTCGATAACTTTCCAAGTATAACTCATCCAGGCAGAACTTCATTGTGCCAGAATGAGATTTCTTTGAATCATTGTTGCATTCAACATGAAGAGGTCTCTTTGAACCATTCTCTTACAGAAAGAGTATTGCATGTGTTATCACCCACACCGGCTGATGAGCAACTGGCCTTCTGTGAACTGCCAAAAAATACAGAAGTGGTACGTATTGGATCAATTATGCGGGATATGCCATCCCTTGTAGTCTTGAGCGAACTTTGTAAACTAGATATTCTGTCCTTTTTAGTCTTCACGATATTTTGCTGTTGCTGTCATTTCAATGTTTGTCTTGCAATTGTACCTGTGCTTTGTGATTTGGGAGTGAATATGATTCCATGAGTGGGGGTCATGACCATTGCAAAATTGGCAGAATCTTGAAATGGGCAAAGTTGATCTGCTGTCAGGGAAGGATGACTGTGTAAGAAAATCGCATGTTGAGTGGCAGGGAAAATTTCTTGAGGAAAGGTGAGGATTCTTTATGATCTTAATTCAATTTACCGATTATTTTCTTTAGTTTGTGTTTTATTTGAAATCTATGTTAATCATCCTTCCTATAAGTTTTGTTGTTTTGCATTGTTGCAAATTCATTTACCATTTGGTGGAGTGGTTTCGGATTCTTTTATTAAATATTTAAATGCAGTTGAAAATCTATGCTAATTATGCATCTTTTCTCGACTAAATATGTGTTGGGTATGTGCTTGCTGATGTTTTGAATCCCCTCCATCTTACTTCATGCACGATCTTAACGCATGATTTTGGGGTTCCTTTTTCGCGCATAAGCGAAAGAGCAATCGAATGGTTGATTGTCTGGATTTATAAGTATTCAAATAATAAACAAAGGGAAAACTCCATTGCATCCCTCATGGTAACTGCGGAAAATAGATTCAAAGCTTCCTGATCTTTTGACATTTTTAGTGGATGGCAATTCCATAATATAGAAATATGGTTTCAAATACATCATGTTGGTTTGATTGTATCCTGTGTTTCGTACTAAAGGGTATCATCTCTTGGACAAATGTAAGTCAAGGAAGAAAAACCCATCTTAATTGGTTGTCAGGCTTCTTTTTGAGTTTTGTTCTAGGAGGTATATTCCTTAACTTGAGTATTCAGAACAGTAAGCCAAAGCAAAAGGGTCTCGAGGAGCACCAACAGGACAAGGTTGCTCTATTGTTCAGCTGAATATCTATTTGAAATCATTGTACAACTGAATTCCCTATATGGATGTGCACTCATGATACATGTTTGAGGATCTGTTTCTTAATGGGGTGTGCTACATAAATCTTGCTTCATGGTCCTCTGCTCAAGGAGATATGTCTATGTCAATAAGTTCCTGCTGAAAGCCTAAAACTTGTAGGCCATATTTATTGCACAGAAAAGCTATTTATGCAATCCATTCTGGGACAATCAGTTAGCGTGGTTCAATTTTTACCCTCATAGGTAATTCATTATGACAAGCTTAGTGAAAACCTGTTGGGGATGTACCATAGAGTTGGATTAAGTTCTGTGTTGATCTTGTAATACTGATATTAGGATTAGAAAGAGAGTTTATATAAACCTGGGTTGCTAAAGCATTTTTTACCGGAGCTCATAAACCAATCTGTTTGTTTTTATTGTGTAGTCGGAATATAGCCAATCAAGTTTCTGGTAGATGATATATGAGCCAAATTTCAACGCCTCATTTGTTTATGTTGCTAAATCAAAAAAATGTGGAAGTTGGACAAGTATTTTGAGTAATGTATTGTGTTGCGGACATGAAGATATTTGTGGGAAAATAGAACATAACTTTTAATTTTCCTATTTTTTTCCGACCTAATACATCTGTAGACTACATTGTTAGCTGCTCACATGTATCAACATGACAGTATCAAATTCATTAATAGCTGTATCTGGTTGATGGTTTCCTTTCTATTGCACTGATGCATGCTCAGGATTATGTCACATTATCATGGTTCTGGCAATCAACCTGAGAACAGCCTATGGACAGACAAGTATCAGCCTGGAAAGGCCTTCGAGGTCAGACATTTGAATTTAATTACTTTTGTACTGCAATGAACCTTTGATATGTTAAGTCCATTAATATTCAGACAATGTTTCTTACTTTTGTTTTTCTTTTTGCATATTATATAAGTGACCACATATTTTTTTGCTAATAATTTGGTTTGTAGGTATGTGGTAATGGTGAATCTGTGAAGTTTTTAAGTGAGTGGCTGCATCTTTGGCATGAGAGAGGTTTTCGAACCAGCAAAAATTCTACTGGTGGCAAAAAAAGGTTTGAGCAAGATGTTGATTATAGTTCTTATCACAGTGACTGCGATTCTGATAATATAGATGACGAGACTAGTCTGAAGAATGTCCTCTTAGTTACAGGACCAGTTGGGGTATTAATCTGCTTCTCTTTTTTTTCTTTTTTTCCGCTCCGTTAATAAATCTGATCTGCATTATATGCTTGTACAATACTTAACTCTGATGTTGTTTCCATTTAGTATTGTGGAGTCATTTAGAAACATCATTGCATGTTTGAGGCACCATTTCTATCTAATCATGCATTTCAGTGCCTAGAATTCATCTGTTTATCAAATGTTTAATAAATTATTTTAGAACTTTGTACACCAAATCATTTCGTAGTTCTTTTGACATGGAAGTAAAATGAGCCAACTTGAACTCTTGTGAGCATGATGTTCAAAATGGGTACAAGACAGCATCTGTGGTTTTCTTTGTTTTTCTTTATTTTGTGGTGGGTTTTTTTTTTGGCTTCTTGGAATTGCAATAGACAGCTGGGAAAAAGGTGTGACTAAGGTATTCGTAAAAAGTGAATAGACTCTTTTGGCATTTTGGTTAAAAAGATATTTTTAGCAATAGCAATGAGTCCATTTTTGCTGGTACCAACAATTTTGCTATTTTTCAACTGAGACAAGAGGACTACATGTTTTGTTTATATCTTGTTAGCTACATTTATTTGGCTTAATATTCTTATCCATGGTTTAAAGTATCGGTCGAGTCTGATATGACTTGGCCAAGTTGTACCTTTGATCCGAAACCGATACACAATACAAGAACATACGAATCAAGGTTGACTTGGTAACGACTCAGTATTATCAGTCCAACTCGGAGTTGTAATGCTTGAATCAGAAGAGTCAAAGACAAAACAAACTGATATGGTGCAAATCGTTTAGTAAGATCTCACAAAAAAAAAGTAGAGTGAAGAAAAGGGAGACGCCCATGTCTGTGAAATCTTGGGGATTTACCTACATCATTATCAAATTGTGCAATTTTTTTGAAATAAAAACCCTAAATCACACCCCATTTGATACCAAAAAAAAAAAAAAGAAGAAAAAGGAAGCAATTGGAAGGAATTGACTGGCGAACCTGTAAGATCGAAAACCACAGAGGTTCTTTCTCCTCCTCCTTCTCCTATTCTTCTGGGTTGTGAGATCAAAACCCTCACCTTGTGAATCTATCACCATCGCGCAGCAGCCCGTCATCGTTGCTTCTTGGCAGCAATTGTAGCCCATCATCATTGCTTGTGTGTGTGTGTGTGTGGTATAGTCATCGAAGAGACTCGATAGAAGAGAAGGCTTTGTGCGTTTGTCTTATAAGTGTGGTTTCTTTTCCTTTTTTTTTTGGTTATAATTTGCTAATCACTAATCTGACATTTATGTATTTTTTTGTGGATCAGATTTGTTAAATTGCTGGGTAAGTAATAAGTGGAATCAGCTGTACATGTTATGGTTATATATAACATATATCTATTTAAGACTTAAAATATTGAATTGATATATTTTATTAAGTGTTCTTTTTTATATACAATACAAGTAAACAAATAATAATTTGACATAAATTAGTTAATCTATAATTAGGTGTACACTGATGTCTGATGATGAATATTTATGGTACTGTCATAAGACTTTACTTTCACTACATCTAATGTGCTAGATGATGTATTTTAGGCGTATGATGCATAGATACAGTTACTTGCAATTTTTTAGATTTTTTTTTAAAAAAATCGGGCCTTCTATTGAGTTTATTTTGCGTCTCAGCCAATACCGTGCTGCGACGTTGCATTCAATTTGTATCATTGCCTTCTGACTCGATGTCTACCCTTAAACCATGTCCTTATCCCTGTGATTTTTGATTAAAACTAGTCCTCACATGCATTTGACATTTTGCAATATGTTTTGTTTATTTTCTTGCCTTAGGTACTTATGTTCTTGTATTGGAGTTGATATAAATAATAGAATATGAATGAGAGAATCCTAATTACTCTTTCTTTTTCAGGCATAATGATTGTCTCTTTTCCTTTTCTCTTCTCTTTTTCACTTCTTCTTTCTTCATTAAATGGTGAATTATAATGAAACAATGCAAAAGTCTTGGCCAAACCCTCCCCAAGCCTAGCTCTGATACCATGTTGAACCATCAATTAATCTAAAAGCTGAAGCTGTTAAATAAAGTGTAACATATCTATAATATACTTCAACATAAAAGTTTGCAAACTTTTGTATATCATAGGTACATTCAATTAATGTACATCATGCATGATTTTGCAATCTATTTCAGTTTCTTTGGGTTAACATGCATACTTGTGATCACTAATGGTGGTGTGCATGCCTCTTTACTGCAGAGTGGGAAGTCTGCAGCAATCTATGCTTGTGCCAGAGAGCAGGGATTTCAAGTTATTGAGGTACTGTTAAAGTAATAGAAGTTTCATCATGCTTCTCTACTTTATTTTGCACCCTCCTCTACAATTGGACTCATCTACCTCTCAAGTTTGGAAGCTTATAGTCTGAAGGTGTTGAAAGAGTTATATTAACTGCAGCACTTGAACATCTGACCTGTTATCTTGCCAGGTCAATGCATCTGATTGGCGAAATGGATCTCTTGTAAGGCAAAAATTTGGAGAGGCTGTAGAATCATGCTGGCTTCAACGGTTTGTCAAAATTCCATCATTATCTGCTGCGCCCTCAATTCTGTATTTTTTTCGTTGAAGGAAACAACATATAGGGGTGTCAAGCATATCGTGTTCGTGTGACCAACGTGTCGGGTCATTGTTATTTGTGTCGTGTTCGTATCAAGACTTACAAAAAAAAAAAAAATCTATTTGGTGTGTTCTGAGTATTAACCATTAGTCTAGACTTCTTATTATGCGTATTTAATAATTGTGTCAATTTTATAATAGTTCGTGTCGGGTTTGTATCAACGGGTCAGAGCTGACACCCTTAACATCATACATGCTTTCAGACATATTCCTGTCATGCTAGTGATTCATATGTTTGAGGAAGTGAATTTTGTTGTTAAGGACAAACAATAATTGTATGCAAATAAGAATCTTGTACAAAGATAAAGAAAATGGAAGAGGATGTCTAAGAAAGCAAGAAACCTAAAGAACTAGTACAAAAAATAAATTACCTAGGAGCAAGTTCCGTATAGAAATGATGATTATTTAGACCTAACACCCAAAAATACAAAGAAGGAGGTCTGAGCTTTGGTGGCAAAAATTTTGGTGGATTTCTTATCCGCCGTTTTCTACTTATTTATTTTTAATGCATGAAAGTGTTGTTTCCCATAAAAAAGGGTGAATTTGAAGTGGGGAATTTGGATAAAAGGAACATTGCATGGTTGAGAAAGTGATTGTTTAGATTTTCAGCTGAGCGGCACTTTATGGCATTCTATTATTGCAATTTATATTGGTTTAATTCTTGAATTAAACCTCATGAATTCCACTATTTTAATTTCTTTTTTTGTTTTCGCATTCTACTCCCCGTTTTACCTATATAATGCACAACACCCACAACTTTTAAGACTTTTGACCTAAAGGCATCACACAACACACTCACCTACTGTGAACTCTATACACACAATGGTTGGGGATGTGTCCACTTATTTGTTTTACTTTATTATTTCTTTTCTTTTCTTTATTTTCCTCACTTATCCATTTGGCTAGCACTCGCACATTCCTTTATATATCACCTACACACCTAGACAATTCGCATGAAACCTATGAAACTTGGATATAGATACGGGTACGATATAATGCAAATATGACAATACGAAAAAATATAAAAAAATAGGACACGGATATGGCGAGGATATGTCTGTAACAAAATATATTTTAGATTTTTACTATTATCTACCAACTTAAAAATTATATATTTTAGTAATCTTTAACAAAAGTATATATCATATCATTGGGCTATATTCACAAAATAAAGTGACTAATTAAAGGAATTAATAGTAATATTTACTTAGTTGGTTTGTTTGGAAGTAATTGTAGCTAAGATTATAATGTAATAGATTCACTTTATGCTCTTATGACGTGTAATAGTAAATAACACTTGAAAAGTACTCATGGATCTTCAAAGTAGTATGAAATTTTGTTGATGTATCATATGGTATGTGAATTTAAAAGTAGATATTAAAAATTATATATATTGCTAAGATACAAAAGTACTCACCAAGTATTCAAATATTTAATAATTATCAGATACATAGGAGTATCCGATACGTATCTTTGAGTATACGTCGAGTATCGTATTAGTATAGGTATGCCGGCCTCAATGAAGTATCTGAATTTCATAGCATGAAACACTCGTCCATCCTTATTATATTTATTATATTTTTTCTTCTCTTCTTGAAGTTGACTAACTATAGTTTAATCTCTTAATCAAATTGTAATTAGTTTACAAACTATAATTTCACCTCATAATAATGATATCATTAATTTATAGTCTTGAAATTTAGGGAAGGATGCTACACGATGAGTCTTCTTTTCCACGTTTGTTTCCATTTCTTGGGTTGGGTGAAATTTTAGTTTTTTCGTGAAATTTGAATGACAGGAAATGCAGGGACTTTATTCTTTGTTGGATTTCCTTAATTCGGTGTCTTTGGTTGGCTTTTGAGGAAGATTACTCTTTGGGCATTTTTTCTTGTAAATCTTTCTTCCATTTGTTGATTGACAATCCATCCTCCTCAGTTTTGGAGCAATCTAAAGGTGATTTGGAAGACTAAAGTGCATATTAACCTGCAGATTTTTGCATGGACTGTTGCTTGCAAGAAAATTAATACTTTTTGATTTGAGTCAGAGAAGGCCAAATGCTTATATTTCATCTAACTGTGATGAGATCACCCACCAATTTTTTCTCCATCGCCTTGGTGTGTTAGGTTATGGCATGATTGGAGACGTTGCGATCGATTGGGTTATCCCATGGAGTTGTGTTTCTGTTTTTGAAGGATTTTAGAGGCTTTGGGAGGAGTAAGAGGGTGTCCGGACTTTGGAATAGTAATGATTATTTCAGGGTAATGTGGAAGGAAAGAAATTATAGGATCTTTGATGTCATTATGGATCAAGTTGATTCCAGTAAAGCTCTATAGGTGATGGTTAAATTTTTGCCTACATAAATGGGTTTTGATTACGGGAGAGTTTAGAGTCCTTGATTTCTTTCTTATTCATCGAAATTCTGTTGTGGATTGGAGATAATGGTCTGATTCAAGTTTTGAAATATTTAATTTTCTAGTTTCAACTCTCTGTAATTATGGTTCGATTCCTTGAGACCACTCTTTTCCCTTTTGAATTTTTAATAAAAGGGACATTATGATTAAAAAATAACTATTCTTCCTCAACTTTTTGATTGAATTGTTGTATTTTTGTTTATCAAGACTTTTAGTGGGCAAGTGATTGAGTTTGATTTATATTTGATTAGCAAGCTTATCAAGTGTTTTTTTTAATGTATTTGAGTCTTTGTTGTTTTTTCATTTGATGAAAGTTTATATATAATCCCCACTTGTGTCTTGAGATGAGTCATGTCGGAGAAATTTAAATGAGATTTAGGCGGGGAAGGGAATAAGAAAAGGAATGCCAAATCCTTGCAAAAATTAGGTTATGAAACACAATTCTCCTCGGTGAATACCTAAATCAAAATTTAACTCCGATTAAAATAATAAGGATTGCATCCATATTTATGGACCAAGTCTCGTATAAAAATAGAAAAAGTCTCCTGCTAAAATTATATCAACTTATCCCAAACATTCTCAATTTATAATAAATACTATTTAACTAACATTCAAATAATAAATAATCAATACAACCAAGATAAATGCTAATAAATCTACTTGGTACACTTACCTTTGGACGAAAAAATTCCGTCTTCCAACTAGGCTTCCAAAGACGGTCACATCAGCCAAACATGCAAAGGCTACGCCATCAGTTTCTGTCCCCCACCCCCTTTCCTATATTTTTCTCAATGTATATTACATTATGCTCATGTACTCCAGTCTCCAGATATCAAAGTGGTTGTTGCCCCTTCCTCCTTTTCTTTCTCTTCTCTCCTTTCCTCCCAATTATTCTCTTCTGACGGTGTGCCTTCCCATCCTATCTTCAAACTTTATTCATCTCGAAACAATTTTAAGAAACCATTTTTTAGATAAGTAAGGTATTTGTCACACAATATCGTTAAAAATATGCACAAGAGGTATACAGATCATGGAATCCAATTGTCATCTTCATACTTAAATATCTTGGGTATTTTCATTCCTATGGAGCTGAAAATTCTAGGACCATAAATCTTACCTTTCCCAAAGCATTCAAGACACCCTTTTTTTTAATTCAATCCTCTATTCTTCTTGATAACCCCTTCAAGATCATTTGGTGCGGATTTTCTGTTCGCTGCTGCAACACCGCAAGAACTGTCAGGTAGACTTGTGTAGAGGGGTAGTTTGCTTGTTACAAAATCATTACTGACCCAATGAAGGTAGGAAATTTTCTTTTGTACCATACGTTTTATGATTTCTGATCTTTTACTTAATATGACCAAGGCATTCCCTTAGCATATTGCATGTTTATTTCAAAAAAAGAAGTTGACCACCATTGTTCTCAAGATGTTATGAGATTCTACATTAATATACTTGCTTAACGGCTCGCTAAAAATTATTACTTGTGATATGAAGCAATTGATGATTATGTGTTTAGTGGTATGGTATGTGGTTATCTGTGATTGATTCTTTTTGGAACTCTGGCTTTTCAGATTACCTCTTATGATCTGGTTCCTCAATTCAATGTTTCCTGAACATCTTTGTGCGTGGTGTTTGTTTCTGATGAATTTAGTCAAATTTTCAATCTCATGAACATTTTCGCTTCATCAATAGTGCATATGCTAGAAATTTCCTGCTACAGAGAATTTTTACTTGAAATCATGCCAAGAGCTGAGGATTAGCCATTATTGTATGACCACTGTCACCACTGACAACTTGAAGAGATATCAAGACATCATGAAGTCCCGAGCTATAATATGATCCTTCATCCCTTCTAATGGTGATTTTTATTGCAGTCCAGCAAATCCAGAGAACAAGCATCCATTGAGATCCTCAAAATCTGCACTTAATACCCTAGCGGACCAAGGGTCTGGTAATGAAGTTATTGAACTTATACCTTTATCAGATGAGGAAGATTCTCAAAATGCCAGTAGAGTGCCTGGGAAATCAGTCTGTAAGGAGAATAAAACTTCTAGTGATGAATGTAACATTAAAACCTTGGTACTTTTTGAGGATGTGGATGCTACTCTATATGAAGATCGTGGTTTTATTGCTACAATACAACAACTTGCAGAGACTGCAAAGCGGCCCATGATTTTGACTAGCAATAGTAAGAGGACTTATTGTTTGACATAATCTTATGCATCATGTTTGCATTACTAGGCGTTATAAATATTTTTGGGATATATTTTCAGGTGACAATCCTGTCCTCCCAGACAATTTGGACAGGCTAGAGGTGTGTTTCACGATACCATCATTGAAGGAGCTCCTTGGCCTAGTACATCTGGTATGGTTTTCATGCGTTTTATTTTCGGTCAGATTTTCCATCATGGAGATCTATTTTCATTTGAATCTATCTTTTTATTCCTCTGCAGATTTGTGCTGCCGAAAAAGCTAAAGTTCATCCTTGCTTGATAGAGCGATTTATTGGTTATTGTCATGGAGATATTCGTAAAACCATTATGCATCTCCAGTTCTGGTGCCAGGGTGAAAGTTTTGGAAAAGGCAAGTCACATGGACAGATGTAGGGAAGCTTTATGCTGCTTGTTGATTATAAAATTTGTTGTATAACTGCAAACGATGTGGGAAAGTTATAGTTAAGATATTGCCTAATCTGATGGGAAGTCACATTCTTTATTTTGCCAAGGGTGGTCTGCACAATATATAAATCCTCAATTGCTGAGGGAGCAATTTGACACTATGATGCATGTGGCATTTAATGATTTCAGATTGTTGTGCCATATTTTTTGGATGGGAGATTTTTTTTCTTGTACAGTAATTTGTACATATAGGGTAACAAACTTTTTTTCGGAAAGTAGGGCAACATAAACTTGGATTTGAGACAATACACTTAATACTCCGCAGTTTATCATCAGTGCATTTTGTTCATGAGTAGAGTTGACATGAATATTTGTTTCCCTTTGTTTTGTGCTAAGCATTTATGCCATTAATTTCTATATAGAGCCAAACTGAATCTTCTTATTTCAACATCATGTATAAGTGCCTGCCTAGTGCTTGGAATGCAGTAAAGCTTGTAATTAAGTATGTGATTTATATTTGCATTTTATTCCATCTTCAATTTTATTTTCATGTTGTCATTTTCCAGATAGTGAATTGCGGAGAATGTATCATCCACTTCTATTTGATCTTGACGCTGGGCACCAAATACTACCAAAGATAGTACCTTGGAGTTGCCCTTCTCGGATGTCTGAGCTTCTGGAAGAGGAGATCACTAAGTCATTGTTTATGATGGAAGAAAGCAATAGCTTAACAGAGATAGTTGAGGAGGATCTAGACAATGATGTACCTAATACTTTTAGTGTGCATGGCAATGAACCAGACACTGTTGGGGCCAAAAAGGTAGCAATGTTAAGTATGCACTGCTCAGTTCAGGATGGCAATGATTTTGCAGTTCAGTTTGATAATACCTGTGAATTTTCCACTTCCTCTGGCTCCCCCATTGCATTCACTAGGCGAAATGCTCGGAGAAAACTTGACACAGTACTGTCCTCTGATTCAGGAGAGGAGTGTTCCTGTGATGGAGTTCCTGTTGTTTCGGGCAGGCCATTTGATTACACTAATAGTGAAGTACTCCTTGAAGTGAATAACAAGTCTTCCTCTCATTGTGTAGCAAGTGAAAGACACTGCAACCCTTTAACTGAGTATCTTTGTCACTCAGAAGGGAAGTTGGAGAGAAATATTTTTCAGTGTTCGGAAACATCGGATAATTCACATATTAATGCTATGTGCACAGTAGTTGATGTATCCTGTGTGCCAGAATCGTTTGTTCCTGAGACTGAGGTTAACAATGGAACAGTTCTATTTTCTAGGACTGTGTCTTGTAGTCATGTTGCTGACAAAGTGGAAGCAGCTTCTACGAGTAATGATTTTATGCCAAACTTGTTTCCATCTGAGGGCAACAATCTTTGTAAGTCTTTACCAGGATTCCATAAAAATCGTAAGATACTGGGTAATACTTCGGATATATTTGTGGAATCATTTCATGGAGAGGAGGTGGGGGATTCTCATGTTGGCTGTGTGGAAGTTAGTCCAAAAGAGTATCAAGCTATGGATGAGTGTAGCCGCATAAACTTCGGCAGGAGCTCCAAATTAATGGAGAAACATAGCTCCGGATCGGTGATTGATACTGTACAGGAAACATGGAGAAAATTTCGTGATGGTCACATGGATCTGAAACAATACATCACCCCCGAACAGAAAAATGCTTCCCAAGTTCTGAAGCAAGCTTGTGGAATAAGTAATCTTATTTCAGAAGCTGATTTGTTACTTAATGATTGCCAACCACTTATATGTGTACGTGTTTTTAGCAGTTTTGGATTAGATATTGAGATGCCTTTTCCTTTTGATACGTTGAATGTGCTGTTCATGATGGTCAGTCGGTATTTTTGCAGGATTATCTTGAAACGTCAGTGATTACTTCTGAGAATTCACATTCATTTGGCTGGCATGATGACCAACTGCAGATGGCCTCAACAATTGCACAACATGGGATTTGCTTTTATTCCAAAAAAATTGCTGCTTTAGGATCAAACATGGAGTATACTAGCACAGTGGATTTGGGCTGGGAGATGCTGACATCGTCAACCAGTACAATGGCATTGGGAAAATTGGTTAGTCAGGATAGGAGAACGATTGAAAGTTTAGAGATGGAGCTACCCATAACTACCACTTCATTAAAGAGGTATTGGATTATGTCTTTTATTCATAGTGCTCACACATTGTATGTACTCCTAATTTACTGCATGTTTATTTGGATCAACTGAACCATTCAAGTTCTTCAACTGTTAGATGCATTTAAATGGTTTTTGTAATTCTGCTCTAGAGTTGGACTGGATGTAATTCCCCGTCGTTTACCTGTTTTGAGAATCTGTTAGCATTCCTGTAACCAAATGCGCATTTTCTCTGTCCTGCAGTGATTTGGAGTCATGTTTTTGCAATATACTTCAGTCCATAGTTCCGTCAAAATCCCACTTATCATTAAGAGGTGATGCATTTCATGAATACCTCTCGTCGTTGGGCCAGATTTCCAGATCAGAAGCCTCACGCTTATCAGAAAGCAGTGACAAGATGAAGCGAAGAAGGTATGTTCGTATGCTGTTAAAAATAGGTTTCTTGCAATCTCAAAGACATTGGAAATTTATGGCACTTAATAATAACATGTACTCATATCGTTTTGCAATGCCGTGTTGCAGGGCACGTGTTCCCAGACATTACTTGTCTTCTGGTGCACTAATGTTGTCCTCTGAATATATATCCTTGCTAAGTCAATATAATTGCTATCAGAAGGTTTCTTCCCAATCCACGGATGCAAGCTTGAGATGAATGTTTTCTTGAGAAAGGTCAATGGTGTAGATGAAATTGACATTTATTTATGCCAATGAAAGTGTCAAGGGCTCAATGCAGCTGCCATGAAAAACCTTATTCGCTCGAGAGTTTTAGATGTGGTCATCTCTATATGGTGATTCAGAGGTGCTGCTGTTATTTGTCTTGGCTGGTATCAATGGCTAATGGCCCGGGCACCAAATTAAAGCTGAACTTTTCAGAGCGACTAGAAAGAACGAGCTCGAGAGAAGCAGGTACATTGATTCTAATTTTTAAGGTACAATTTTGCTCATCTACTAATTGTAATTCTTACAGGGCCTAATTTTTTCTGCTAGAAAATATATGATCCGAAAGTAATAAGATATAATTCTTGGTGCCAAAATTTCACATATCTTCATTCGACAGTCCCTCCAGAGTGATAAGAAAATTGTTTAGTTGTTCCATAGCTCAACTATTATACCTTGTTGGAAGCTAATCAAAACTAGTACAAGTCCTTTAGACACAGGTTTGATGCTAAGATCCAATATGTAACCCGGCCCCATTTACACTGGTTTGACAGTTTGATCCAATATGTAGTCCGGTTTAGACACTTGTTTGATGGGTTTTTGGGTTGACCTGCAGGGCTGGGCTGAACGTTTTTTTGGTTAAGTACTGAAAGATAATATATTGCAAGATCAATTCGGTCAATATATCTTGCAATTCGGTCTCTAACATGCCTAAATTTCTTGGACGATGAAACCAAAATTATTAACAAACAAGTTTTTTTTTTTTTTTGCTAGAGTAAAAAAAGGATGAGGACAAAGGATAGTGCTCAGAGAGCATTTTAATAAGTCCTTGTTGGTGGGATCATGAGGTTTTCGATTGCATTCGTTATCTTTTTCAGGAATAAACTTAGTTAGACTAGCATAACAATCAACTACTGAATCTTAATGTGGATTTGAAGACTCGAATTTTTAATTTCAGGAAGTTCGGTTGGTATATCATTGGACCACTTTATTTTGTCAAACTAGTTTTTAATGCTTATATACTAATCAGATTTGTCCCATTTGGGTATTTGGAGCTCGAATTGGAGTTATAGTTGTCTAATCTCATTTTGCTTGAGTCTGCATTCACTTTATAAAATAGTTGTCTAATCTCATTTTACACCCGAAAAGATTGTTCAAATTTTAATTTGCACCTCCAAAGATCAAAATTTTAATTTGCACCCTCAAAGATAGAAATTTCAATTTAGAATATTTCAATGTGTATTCTCAAAGATAAAAAATCTCAATTTGTACCATCAAAGATAGAAATTTGTATTAATGTGCACCTTAAAATTAAATTGATAAATTATACTTAGATCTCCTCATGTTTGTCATTTAATCATTTGAACTCCTTCACATTTAGAATATTTCTCTTACATCTCATGACGTTTGTGCATGTGTAACACATAATCACTTTTCATTGATATCTGTTAATATAATTGTTAAAAAATATGATTTTATCCTAATAAAAAATTATAATTTTATATTACTTTTTATTTTGTGATTCGATATACTCTAAAGTTGCAAATCAAGCTTATCATTTGAATGTCTAATAAAATATAGATATTTATATAAAAGGTAATATGAAAAACATTATATAAATATTTATATTTTATTAGACATTCAAATGGTAAACTAGATTTGAACTTTAAAATATATTGAACCCAAAAAATAAATGGTAATATGAAATTATAATTTTTTATTAGGATAAAATTATATTTTTTAACGGTTATATTAATAGATATCAATGAAAATGGGTTACGTGTTATATGTGCACAAATGTCATAAGATGTAGGAGTAATATTCTAAATGTGAAGAGGTCTAAATGATTAAGTGACAAGTATGAGGG